TACACTCCATTTGCATCATTCCCAAAAGCAGCCTTAAAGAATTTGCTCCCTTGTATTATAGTTATGAATGATGATGAACCTATTGCAAGTTAATATAGGCGTTGTTACTAAATTATTATTCTATCCATCTAAGATTTTGGGAGGAGAAGATAGACCCAACATTTGGCTTTTTTTTGGGGTAAAAAAGTGGCCTTTCTCAAAATTGAACATGTATTCTCACACTTGCCAGCATGGGGCACCAAACTATTGTCCATAACCTATAGGAAGTTAAGGTCATTACCCAATGTTGGTCTTGGCTCTTGGGTTCATAAAAGGATAGATTGGATATAGTCCTAACCTTTAGAACCCACATTCTCACCCTTAAAAGTTTAATATGCTTAAATGTTAAAATATGTGTTTAGAAAATTATAATTTATGCTTAGGAGTTGGAAAACCCACAAATGGAGTCAACTTAATATGTAAGGTATTTATTTATTAAAGGTATTGATATATTAATTTTGTACTATGTTTTAATTAATTTTAGCATTTAGTGGGTAAACCAAGCCCCCCGACCTAAGAACTGGTACATATTGGCTTGATGCATTGATAGTTTAAAGTTTAAACCTTGGGCCAAGGGTGGGTGAACTGTTTTTTTATCCATAAATGAACTAAAATATAATTAGAATCTATATTATTATAAGAGGATACTTGCCTTAGTTTTAATGTAGGTCATTAAATTTAAATTTAAGTATATACTGTCAACTTATATCTTACACTTGTACAGGCGCATAACACATGCTTTTATATTTAATATTTCAAAATGAGAATTTTCTACCTTCCCATTGAAAATAAAATGGATTAGAAATTAGTTATGGTTAACTAGAATAGTTCATGGTTGTTTTAAGACATCAATTGTGGTTAGGGATGCAACTTGGATGATGAACTCAGGTTGATAAATTGTCAAAATTTGAATGGCTTCGACTGAAGGCCCAAGCCCAACCTAATATAAATTCTTCTTTACCATAAATTACTAAGGTTGTGTTTAGTATCATTGTTATTTATACATGTAACGTTTTGGGTTGATCAATATAAATGGGTGAAAAATGTGTTGTTATATCACATATGAGAGTTACTTCAACTAGAAAAATATTGATTATTGACATTAATTTATGAGTTGAATTAGAAATATCAACTTATTTTGATCAACCTAAATTGAGAAATATCTCATTGATTTATTTTGATAAACCCAAAACATTTCAGGTAGAAACAAAAATAGTACCACATACAACCTAAACAAGTTGGACAATTGATGTAATTCCGCAACAAGATAAATCAATCAACCAAAATTGTGATTTGTGAATCATCAATGAAAGGGACTTCTTGGAACTTTTATTCATTGTAAAAAAAATTTCATATAAAACATTAATTATTAAAAAAAATTAATACTATAATACTTAGGCTGAGTTTGGAAAGAGTACAAATGCAAATTAAATTGTGCAAATACATACAAAATAATGCAAAATATAAGGTTTTGCACTCTATATATTTGCATTTGTACTTGATGATGGCAGTTTTGGCCCTCCAATGATATTGTGACACATGGCACCTCGGAACAACTAAGTGACACCCGAAACTATTTAGGCAACAACTTGCCTTAGTCAAGTTGATGGTGTCCCACCTGGCGGCCTGACCCAGGCGCGACCTAGCGGCCTAGCATGGGCGCCGCCAATGGCGGCCTGGCACGAGCACCGACTTGGCGGTCTGGCCCAGGTGCGACCTAATGGCCTGGCACCGGCGCCAACCTAGCAGCCTGGCACCTGCGCCAACCTGGCGACTTGCGAGACGTGCTCGCTGACAAATTCGACATGCATATCCTAACACTCCCATAATCCTCGGGAGTTGGCCCACATGCCGAATGATCCGGAGGGTGGTCAACGTGCATGGCGGTTGTCTCAAGGAATCGCGGACCACTTAGACGACTTCTCGGAAGTCTCGGATGCGGTGCGTGAAGCCCACACCAAGCAATGCCTATATAAAGACACCAACCCCAATGGCATGGGGGGGGCAAGTAAGCATATTCTATCTCTTATACTTTGTGATTTTTAGCTTGCAGTCTATTATGAGAGTATTGACTTAAGCATCGGAGTGACCTCGCCGGGTTAGCCACCCTGGGTCCTCTAACATTGATTCCTTGCAGGTCTCTAAAGAACTACGAAGCTCAACAATCAATCCAACTCAACACCAGGCAGCTCGGCAATTAATAGGCAGCTCGACCCTCTGATCAGCTCGACACCTAATAGGCAGCTCGACACTCTGGTCAGCTCGTCACCTAATTTTCCTAGCTCGGCCCAGTCAGCTCGTCACCTAACCTGCCCTGCTCGGCCTAGTTAACTCGGCACCTAATCTACCTCCAGCTCGGCCTGGTCAGCTCGGCATCCAGGTCCTCATCCAGCAAAATTTCACTTCGGCCTCTTGAGTCATCGGCCACTTGAAAGCAGACCAAATGACGAGGTACTTAGCACAAAAAATTGATTCATCAGTACTCCTTCCAAATTGAGCCTTAATAAAAATGTATTAAATACATCCAAATAAAACACGTTAAGAAACTTGCTACAATAAACAAAAGATAAAAAATCATTATAATCAAATACAATAACAACCTGATGGTTTATCGTTGGTCGCCGGTGATGCACTTCATCGCTGCCGGTGGGAGAGGGAGAGAACAAACAGGGGTTGGTGTGACCGTGTGAGGGCTAAACACCGTTTACTCTCCTCCCTCACGCGGATTTAGACGTTGCACGCACAGAGGGACGTGTGGCGCATCCTCGGGTGTGCGAACAGTGTGCAAATGGGGCTAAGGGCTTGCAGTAACTGATTTGATATCAAAACTAATTTCAGTGAAAAATTGATTTTTCAGCCGAATTAAATTGTATTTGAACTTTCCGGGCTTTCAATCAAACATAGATTCCCACCTTGCAAAATCAGAAGCCATTGTGAGTAGATTTATTCATGGGCTGGGTAGCCCGATCGGCCCGGCCCGAACTAAGTTGGGCTTAGACAAGATTTCAGGTTCGCGGGCTTGGGCTAGGGCCTAAAATATTGGAATTGACTTTTTTTTTGGGCCGGGTTCGGGCTTTCTCAAAAAAACCCGGCCTAAGCCCGAGTCCGACTTGATAATGTATTATATTAATAAAAATATATTTTATATAATAAAAAAGCAAATATATATAATATAATTTTTTCTCTTTTTTCAAGTAATAATGAGAATTTTCATTATTTTTTAAGGTTTTGAGGTTTTTTAGTATAAATAAAACAACTTTTAATTGAATTAAAAATGACATCTTTTTTTTTTCTAAATTTTTAGTCAGGCTCAGGCTCGGGCCCGGATTTCTGTCTTTATAATCAGCTCGGGCTCAGACTTCAGGCTTTATAGTTGGGTTGGGCTTGGGCTCAAGACCTAGGCCCGACGGTCGGGCCGGGCTCAGGCTCGGGCCTGAACATTTTCTGTTAATGTAGAGACAAAGTCCGACCCGACCCGTAAACAGGTCTAATTGTGAGAAAGCCATTCCCAACACACACTTAGCATAAGTATGGGAGATGTGTTCAATAGCAATGCATGAAGGCCGACCATGATTTCACGGTTTTAGCTCAGAGCTCCAAGTCCAAGTAGAGTAGCTGATTTCTCCAACTCGGGATCTGCTACCCACAAGTTATCTCCAAGTCCAAGTAAAGTAGCTGATTTCTCCAACTCGAGATCTGCTACCCACAGGTTATTCCCACATCCTTGCCCACAAAGGATAGAACACCACCACCGTCCACCGTGTATTGCAAACATCTCCTCAAAGGGCTCGGATCTACTATCCACAAGCTGTTCCCAAATTTTTATACGCCAGCATCATTGCAAACATCTCTCCAAAGGGCTGGTATCTGCTACCCACGAGTTGTTCCCATCAAGGTTCAAAATATCGATACAGCTTTTGGTATTTTTTTTTTATTTTATTTTTCGCAATTGGTTCAGGGGAGCTGGTTTAGGCCTCTTCCACAATCTGAACCGGTCAGACCCTTGATACACCCACTGTAAGAGTGTATCGGAGGGGTCCCACAATGATACGACGAATGTTGATATTTTGAACCTTGGTTCCTACATCTCCACCTTAGGATTATATTGCCCGTGTGATTGGATGTAATGCTATTAGTGTGTTATTATGGTTTTTGCCAAGGTTTTTAAAAACGAACTGGACAATGAATTGTTCAGGGGTTCGGTTCCTGAGTCAAATGGTTTGATGATTTAAACCAAATAAACATCCAATTTTAACAAAAAAAAAAATAAAAAATGACTAAAAACCGTTAATGGTTTTAATGGTTCGATCGCTTGGATCAATGGTTTATTGAGCAAATCAAAGATTTTTGGCTAAAAGATGATTATGGGATAAAACAGAATCGATCAGATGACCAATTCCCAGTTTTTTAGTCCGATCATCCAATCCAGCCCAATTTTGAAAACATTGGTTTTTGCTCCATAAGTTGACCCATTGAATCGGATTTTAAATGAATTCCGATTAACTGAACGGTTTACTGGCTTGAAACCTCATCATTGGTTCCACAGACCGCTAAACAGCTAAAGCGTTCAGCTCAACCTTTGTTCGTTTTAAATCACTAGATTCGTTTTAACCCATTTTAAAACTCCCGTAAATAGCATTTATTTAACAGAAGCTTGGCAAATGCTAGACCTGTAATGTGGGCCATGTCATACTTAGGCAAGGATTTAAGGCGGCCTGGACGCCATCCGATCGAATCAGAATTTTTAGATCGAATAAGGGGTGATGTCATGTGAATTCGATCTGATAAACAATCGGATCCTTTTTATCCGTTATGAGCCGAAATCCGCTAATTGATTATCCGAATCGGATTGGGAAGAGGGTCGGATAATAATCCGCTCCATTTTGCAATTGAGAACTAGGTAGTGATCCTTTAAAAACCATTCTGCTAATCTCTATGATGCCGGAACCCCAATCAAAAAGATCAGTTCCTCCAATCCAGAAGGAGAATTCTAAGTTTTTAACAAGATCTACACAAGATAAAAATTACACAACTGTAATTTGATCAAATACAAGCTAAGCAAACCATCTACAATTTAATGATCAGGTCGATGAATAGCAACAGAAAAAAGTTTGGCCGAAAACGCATACCTTGACCGTTAATTACACGTTAACACCGACTGGTCAATCGATGGGACGGCCGGAGACGATCGGGCGAACAATCGTTACAATGATTGTTGTATATGCTAAGGGTTTCTAGTCGAAGCAGGAGCAGATCCTCAGGTCATCTTCTCGAACAGCCCTGGATAACACGTTCTCAGGTCGTCTTCTCCGGTAGAAGCGGTTCTCTGCTGAACTGGACAAATGCGGTTTCAGAAGGGGATTGGAAACCTTCTCACAATTGATTGTGCACCGTTTGAGCCATATACGGCATGGACGATTTCTCAGAAGTTGCACCCTTCGTTTATTTCCCTGAAAATTCAAATACCAGTTTTTTATCGAATACTAGAAACTGGACCAGGACGTGTTACTCAGGAACCTACAGATGAATCTTTTCGAACATGATCTTTGTGAATCGTTTCTGGCTTTCCTTCCCATTTCAGAGAGAAATCCTCTCTGCAAAACTGAATTGTAGAGATCTTTTCATTCATTTTAACAATTGCATTTCTGGGATTCAGAGAACGGTTCGCACCATCAACAGCTTCTTCGACATTGAGAACCATAGACCTCAGTTTTCCTTACAAGAGTGTGCTTCACTTTTGCAGCGTTTCAGTGATCTGAGAGATGTTAACAATGGAAAGTCACTTCATTCAATCCTCATCAAAAGCGGGCTACATCGAGATGTCTTTGTACAGAACAACATTCTCCGTTTTTATGCTGCTTGTGAGGAGCTGATGAATGCTCGTCTACTGTTTGACGAGATGCCAGAACCAAATTTGATTTCTTGGACAAGCATGATCTCAGCCTATGTACAATACGGTTACAACGACCTTGGTTTGCAGTTGTTTTCTCTTATGTGTCGTTCAGGGTTGTGGCCCAACGAGTTTGGGTACTCAGTGGCACTCAAGGCATGTGGAGTTACAGGCAATTTGCTGATGGGAAAAGTTCTTCATGGTCAAACACTGAAATCTGGCTTTGAACTGTGCTTCTTTTGTAATAGCTCTATTTTCAATATGTATGTAAAATCTTGGGAAGTGGATGATGCCCGTAAGCTCTTCAATGAAATCCCGCTGAATGAAAGATCCGAGGCCTTGTGGAATACATTGCTTGATAGTTGTGTTCAGGTATCAAAGGCTAAGGAAGCCATTAATTTTTTTCATCAGATGCTGCATTTTAATGTATCACCGACATGTTATACTTATGCTATTCTTATTAAATCATGCACAGACTTGTGGAATTTCCACCTGGTTAAGTCTTTTCATGGCCGTACTGTTATGGTAGGCTTGGATAACCATAGTTTTGTTGGTGGAGCCCTTGTCGACACCTATTCCAAGTTGGGATTCCTGGAGGATGCCTACAAAGTGTTCCAGGAATTAGAAGAGAAGGACAATGTGGTCTGGAGTTCTTTGCTGGCCGGTTTCCATCAGAGTGGGGTTGCTGAACAAGGCCTGCAATTGTTTGGCCAATTTGTCTCGGAAGGCCATAAGTTGGACCCTTTTATCTTTGCTAATGCATTTAGTCTGTGTTCAAGTATAGAGGTTACGGCAGTTGGTTCACAAGTGCATTGCAGTTTTATCAAGTCTGGCTTTGCATTGGATTCTTTTATCGGGAGTTCCCTCATCAATATGTATGTTGGTACAGGGATGGTTTGTCATGCTTACAAATGTTTTCTTGAGGTCAGGCATAAGAATGAGATATGCTTCAATGCCATGATTGCAGGTCTAACCTTTCATTCAGAAGATGGAAAAGCTCTAGAACTGTTCTGTAAGATGAGGGAGCTAGGACTGATACCAGGTCATTCCACAATTAGTTATGTTCTCAGAGCCTGTGCTAATCTGCATAAGTTGGAAGAAGGCAGAGCTCTCCATTCTCTTATTGTTAAAACACTTGTTGATTCCGACTCTAATTTTGGCACTGGGAATGCTCTTATTGAGTTGTATGCTAAACGTGGAGTTGTTGAAGAAGCAATCATGGTGTTTAAAGAGATGGATGTGCCAAATGAGTTCTGCTGGACAACTATTATATCCAGTTACACTGAATCAGAGAGGTGGGAGGAAGCATTATTCTTATTTCTTGATATGATCTGCTCTTCAAAGTTTATAAAACCAAGTCAATTCACCTTGGTAGTTGTTCTTCAGGCTTGCACAAGACTCCCAGCACTGAACCAAGGGAAGCAGATCCATGGTTACATCATAAAAGCAGGATTCGAGTTGCATTCCTTTGTTGGAAGTGCTTTGATCAGCATGTATGGGATGAGTCCAATCAAGAGCGATATCTATGATGCTTCTCGAGTATTCTCTTCCATGACAGAACGAGATATTGTTTCCTGGAGTGCCATTATCACAGCATGGGAGCAACATGGATATGGTGAGGAAGCATTAAAGCTTTTCATAGAATTCCAACACACATCTATCCCTGTTGATGAATCTGTCCTCTCAAGCTGCCTTGCAGCTTGTGCTAGCTTAGTAGCATTGGAGAGCGGCAAGTGGATCCATTCTTGTATAATCAAAACCGGATTTGAATCCAATTTACATGTTGGATCTTCTATCATTGATATGTACTGCAAGTGTGGAAGCATTCTGGATGCAGTCAAGTTCTTTGATGGGATGGAAAGACACAATACTGTTTCTTGGACAGCAATGATAACTGGATATGCCCACCATGGATTTGGGAAGGAGGCTATTGAGCTGTTCAATGGAATGAAAGAAGCTGGGTTGGAACCTGATGGGGTCACTTTCATTGGGGTTCTTACTGCATGCAGCCATGTTGGCCTTGTCAAAGAAGGTTGGCAATACTTTGAGTCCATGAGAAATAACTATGGGTTGGACATTACCATAAACCATTACGCCTGCATGGTTGACCTCCTTGGCCGAGCTGGTCAGGTGGATGAGGCAGAGGCTTTAATAAAAACAACGCCTTTTCAGTCAAAGACCCCACTGTGGAAGACACTGTTAGGTGCCTGCAATAAGCATGGAAATGTACAAGTAGGAAACAGAATAGCCAAAATTCTGGTAGAGTTGGAACTGGATGAACCTTCAACTTATGTTCTACTCTCAAACATGTATGCATCAGCCTCCATGTGGGATCATTCAATTGAGCTAAGAGACAGAATGAAGGGAGAACACATTAACAAGGATCCTGGATGTAGTTGGGTCCAAGTGGCAACTTAAAGTTTTGGAGGTTTATTTATTAATTTTGTACATTAAATACATCAAAGATCTCTTATTGATGGCTTGGTGCTCTCCTTTTCCCGTGTAAGAGGTACCACTTAGGTAAGCGGTGGTCAAACCTCTGAAGGTCCGAAAGATGGTTGTGGAGGTATGTTGGTTGCAGAGAGAGAGAGAGAGAGAGAGAGAGAGAATCTGAGACTCTGAGTCTCCTCTAGTTCTCTTTGTTAAGTGGTGTATATGAGTCTTGGGTCCCCATTTGGGCATAGGGCCCTTATTTATACTATTTCCCTTTATTATTTCTTTAACCATTATTTTAGAATGTTCTAGCAAGTTGGTGCAAATGGCTCTAATCAAATGGACCTTAAGTTGTACCGGTCCGGTTTGGTTTGAGATTATACTGGTCCAACTGGGTTTATGATCTTGTATAAGTCCATGGTCTTACACCTTATTGGCTCAGCTTCAAAAACCATCCCAGCCCTTCTACCACTGAGCCTAACATGGACACTTAAGAGACCATTCAGGTGGTACCTTCCAGCTTTGCAAGGTGAAGCCCCACCCAGACAGCTTATAAGCAATGTTTGTTGAAAATCCAACAATAACAAATGCACTGTTGTCCAGCCAATAAAAAAAAAGACGTTTCAGTGAAGTTTCTTCTTCAAAATAGCTTAATCATAGCTTCAGCCCTCCCAAATGGATCCATTACTATAGTGGAATAAGAACATAGGAGAGGTTCATGATATCTAAGGCAACATCCATACCGAACCAACTGGAAATAGGCCATGTTTGGTTCGCTGCCAGTGGGCTCATTCTTTTAATTCTTGCCGATTCTGAAAAAGAATGGGCAAGAATGAATGAGATGTAGGTGTTTGGATACTCATTTCTTGCCGCAGGACTCATTCTTCCCAGAATGAAATTTGGATCTTGGCAAAAATTTATGGCACGAAAATTTTTCGTGCCCCATCCTTTCTTTTGTTTTTTTTTTCATTCGAGCTTGAGTACTCTCGACTTGAAGTCACTGAACCCTCATCTCTCTCTCTCTGTAGGTAAACCCTCGTCCCTCTCTCTTTGCTGAGGTATCTCGATCTGTTGAAGTCTGTACAAGGTAAAACTAATTGACTCTCTCTCTCTCTCTCTGTACAAGGTAACGGTGGGATCGATCTCGATCTGTTAAAGTCCTAAAGCTAAGATCGATCCAAAGAGCTCAAAACCAAGGTAAACTCTCTCTCTCTCTCTTCGTCTTCTTTTTCTTTCTCATCTTCTTCTTCTTCTTCTTCTTCTTCTTCATCTCCTTCTCAAGTTGCGCACAGAAGATGGATACCTCCTCCTCCTCCTCCTTTTTCTTCTTCTTCTTACTTCGTTTTTTCCCCTTTTAGGTTGACCACCAATATCATCCCTATAAGCATTAAAAGAACGCAGTATCCATTAAGGTATTTGATCAATTTTTGTCTCTTCATTATTTTCCTTATTGGTATTTGTGTGTTCAAATTAATATGGAATTTATACATTTTTTTAAGTATAAATTGTTTTTATTTTCCTTATTGCTTTGCTGTTATTTTTCTGCCATTGTTTATCGTGATCTTGTACTCTGCCCTCAGCATTAGATAGATAGAGTTACAAATTTGATGGGATCCTACATTACTTGGTCTGATAAAATTAAATAGTGAAATCCCTGTTAAGGATATTCTAGATTGGTTATTAATGGAAGCATGTTCGCCACATGAATCCTGTTTCGCCATTCAGTTCTGTTCAGTGCCTTATCCTCCTTTTTCTGGGCTTGGGACCAGCTAAGCCATGTCCCATCTAAGTTACTGTTACTCTGTGGACAGGGGTATTTCTATCCATTCCCATGATATATACAACTATATAAAGGGGGGCTGCACACACCCCAAGAAGTTCTCCCATAACTATTTTCTTCTCTTTTCTTTCCCTATTATTTTCTGCACTTTCTTCTACTCAAATTACTGTTTTTTATTGATTATCTGAACTACATACAAGACATCTTGGTACCAGAGCAGGTTTCACCTCCTTTTGCATATAAGACCCATATACTAAGATTAACAGTACTGTGTATGGGGATTTAAGAGACTGATGATTACTAGATCAAATCACCTGGTTTGTGAAGGATTTTGGAGAGTTTCTTATTGAAGATCTGTCTCCCAGAAGGACTTGAACTACAATTTAATTGGAGGTCAAGAACTTGTATTAGGATTGGTGATCAAGGACTTTTAAGTTTATTTTGATGCCCTTTATATTTGCAATAGATTTTGGGCATTTGGGGGCTGCTGGTAGGAGTGGCCTATGTTTCTCCTCTTCCTTCTGTGTAAGGGTTGGTGGAACCCTAGGAGATTACTGTAGCCTTGACTATAAGTCAAGAGAACTGATAATAGGAGACCCCTATTTGTGTAAAGGCATATATGGACTTGAATTTGAATCAATGATCCCCTTGGAACTGATTCAAAGCAGAATTTTGAAATCTGGGGTTGCTCCTTTTGGAATTGTAGAGAACCCTATCACCCACAGTGATTACAAGTAGACTCAATGAAACAAATGATTTAGAGAGGGCATAGCAAATCCATTCAAATGTACATAAGAGGACATGAAATATTGGGATACATTACTGGCAGTGTTGTTCAAATGTTTCACATGCTAAGTGGATAGAAGAGAATTACATGGTTATGTCATGGATGCTAAACTCCATGTAACCACATATCAACAGGAAATGCTGGACGCTTGTGGATATTTGAATACTTGACAACCTGTGTTACTGAACAAGGTAGAACTGCAGAATAGGGAACTCAAAATCCTAATATTTGAAGTTCTAATTTGGTCAACGATAATAGGAAAATTGATGTAATCAGGTTAACTTGGTGAGCTTCTGAAACAAACTAACATGAAACGCATCCCACTGGCAGTCAAAGTCATCTAAAAAAGCACCTTAGCCTCTAAAAAGGGACAATATATAAAAAAGGCCATTACCCAATGTTTGTCAGAAATACCTAGGTTCTTGGGAAGGTGGAGTAGATGTGGACCTAACCTTTGTTTTTTCCTTTTTTTTTTTTCTGCACAAAGTGGCTACTCTGAGGCTCAAACCTGTGTTCTCATACTTATCACCCCATGATTTACCATCACACCAAGAAATTGAGCCTAAAACCAAGACAAGATGTAGTTTACCAGAAAAAAGAGAAGTTAGAAAAAAAAAATTAAAAGATTTTGAAACTTAACATATAGGTTGCATCTTTCATTCATTTTGACAAGTTGGACAACTAAAACACAATATGGAAGCCAGCCTTGGTCAATGCATGCAATTTGAGGAAACTGCATCCCATGAGTTACCGGTTTTATTTGTGTTCTCAGAAAGACCAGTTATGCAATTCTAAAATTTAAATTTCTTGAAAAATGAAAAATGTTCTCTTTCATTTGCATAAGATCATCCTCCATTCCACTCCCCTGAAGGGTCTTATTCACATGCCTTTCAAAACTGAACAATGAAGCAATTAAAATACATACATTCCATGATACAGAATGATACAATGTAACATGCGAAAAAAATATATGATACAATGTAATAGAATCAAAACAAAACTCAGTCTATGATACAAGGAATGGAATGATCATTGCCAGGAATGTATCATAGGTAAGTATTGCTGCTCCAGTATAGTGTGGATCTTTCTCCTTGAACTTTTCAGTCAAACCCTGAAGTTGAAAGAACAAGTGAGAAGTGTAAAGTTATGTCATCGAAAGAAAATTAAGGTATTTGTTTTTCAGCAACCTCATAGAGAATAAAGAACTACAAAAGGAAAGAAGATCAAGACACACGCCCATCTAAGCAAACAGGATTCTACTGGACAAAAGAGATAATATATGATCAAATCTGCCATACAAGGAATCCCTCAAATACAATTTCCTGGTCATATGACATTCTGTTGATTACTACTTGATTATTAATGATGAAACATAATCCTAGAATATCAGTTAAAGCATAGACATGGAACAGCATTGAGATGCTTATACCCCTAGGAATAGGTAGAACCAAAGTAAACTTTGATTACTACTTGATTGACAATCTTGGCCCCTTGGGTTTAGGCGGAGTTTATAGAGGAGCAGCAGAGCATCCTTGGTCCGGGGTGGTAGTAGAAGAAGCTTCTTTTCTTTTCTTTTCCAAACCATCCTTGGTTGGGATGGTGTATCTGAACAGAATAGGTACGTGTGATCCTTTGTACACCAAGGAACTGTACAAGGGAGAAGAGACCCATAAAATGCCAAATCAGATTAACCAGTCAGTGCATACACCTCCCATTACAAGGTATGTAATATAAGCAAACAAATCATAAATTATCAAAATATTTAAAACCTATGGTAGGGCATACCCTTAAACAATCTATGTATAGATAACCATGAACACAATGCAAGGTGCTTTTCAACCTATTTAGCATGACTTCCAACAGAATTTACTCTACCCTCAAAAGTTCACACATTTCCTTCAAACCATATACACTACAGTGCAAAAAAAAAGGTTTGTAATCTCTTTCTCGAGTCCACAAAGGACACACCAGCACAGTCAATGTTCTCCAGTCCATACTAGGGGTGAGCATTTGGTTCATTGGATTAAAAACCAAGTGTGGGACATGCTAGGCCTAAGTGTGGGAGATGCAGTAATGCACATGAGAGCTACTTTAATCATCCTTTCCACCGACTTTGGTTTTGAGTCACTATTTCTGATCCTGGTGTTGTTTCATTTAGTTGGAGACTAGAGGCATGTTTTGAAGAAGGGTAAAATTTTTATCCAGTTTAATGGCAACACTTGACCGGAAAATGAATTTTGTAAATTTTAGAGATACTTTAAGTAAAGTTTAAAAATTTAGGGATACATTAAGCTATTGTTAGATGATTTAAAGGTACTTCAAGTAATTAACCCTTAACTCTAATTATTGAATGCATTGGCAACCTTGAAAACCATTATATATTGTACAAAATGCACCAATACATTACTTTTTTTTGGTAATAGTAGGAACTGAGCTCCACAGTTGACTGTGGCTAGATTCACCCAAATATATTGACTGAAAACCATTACTCCCAGGATTTTTATTTTTTTTCTATTTTTTTTTATTTTGCTCTTTTAGGCAATTCCCTGGGGAGCACTAAGAAAGAAATAAATATTTGCCATTCTTGCTGTTTATGTAACTTGTTCATACACTAATGACTGATGAATGGGTGATGGGTCCCTCTGTATTCATATAATGCACAGTGCTCTGGTTCTTGTCTGTCCTATTATTATATTTAGAGTAATATTTTGTTTATCTCCTTTTAGTGTCTAAATCATTAAGAGATGAAACACGCCATTATTTCATTCAGACTGCATCATAGAAGCCAGAACCAGTTCCAACAGATTCCAAAAATATACAAGCAGTATCAAACAAGGGATAAGATAGTGGAATCCAACTAGCAGCCTTTTATATGCAGATGCTTCGTTGAATCCATTGCTATGTCTTGAAGATTGGGGCATATGCTAGGGCAATCCTGTATGTGTTTCCATGGTCTCTTTAGTTGGTTTGTCATGGGTTATGTGGCATCTCTTTACAAGCTTATGAGTTACTGGAAATGTGATAATTTTGAGAGAAGATCACCGTTCTATGTAAACTCAGAGTCCTTTCTCTATTATCAAGTTAAGTAATGGCAAAGGCGCCACTATGGTGATAGTACCTACTTTTGCCATGAATTTGACCGGCCATGCTGAAGCACGGTGCCATCTCAAGAAATGCATACTTAAACCTAATGCTAAAAGACCCAATGGAAAATGGCTTGTTTTACAGCATTATGTTTATAACACAAAGGTCAAAGGTTCAGGTCCTGAATTGAGAATTAAGAAATGTAAAACCTAAAAATTGAAACCACAAATCCCAAACATGAATTGAAATTAACAAACATCATTGACATTTTTTCCAGAAAGAGCAGAGACATAAACAGCTTTCTCTTCCATATATAATTACACACACAGATATATATATATATATATATATATATATTCTTGAATATAGAATATTACTAATACTGAAAAACGGAACTGAGATACTAATACTCCTTTGTTATTGACAGCCAAGAAACCATCTAGCCAAACTAACTTCTACTCCAATGAAAATAAACTTCTGAAAGAAATATGAAAGGGAAAATAAAATAAATACAGTAAACATGTGATCTCTTACCTTTACAGAAGAACCCTTCAGATCAGACGCTTGCTTTATGATTGAAGTTTTTGAAACTCCCTCTACAAAACTCAGATTCCTGGTACAGGTAGAACTCTTGAAGGAACTGGCGCAGGCATCAGCCATAGCAACATCCTGATCAGAGCTACTGGGTAGCCCATTTTCTTTTGTAGAAACTCTCTCTGAGCTATGCTCCAAAGCAGTAGCTATATTTTGTAGAATCCAATCATGAACTTGTGCTGCTGGCACAGGGACAGCAGGCATGTCTGGATCAGAATTTGCAAAAAAGGGTGCGGCCTGGCTCAATGGAATTCCTTCAGACCCCTTTTCACCAAACTGAATGAGGAACCCAAGATGTTCAAACCTTTCTAAGGTCAATACCTACATAAAGAGTTCATTATCGATTTAGGAGCAAGCTCATGAAGATATTAAGATGCATCTCTCAATAACAAACAAGACAATAGATAAATAGGCTTAAAAGCAAAATAGTTGTTTTCTCCCATTTAAGCACCCATTTGTACCAACTCAAGGTCAGATCCTTGGTCAACAAGATGATCTCACCACCTTGTCTTATGGTTGAAGGCATGAGCTTCAGCTTCCAGGGAATGTGGCCTCTTGCTAAAGCCCTTGTCAGCTAGCATTAATGAGGAAATACACATACTTCAGCCACTGTCCCCCAAAGAATTTGATAATATGCTGAGACTTGAATGGAAAAATTAGTCTATCAACAAGCTGGTATCTGATTCTTCAATCTATGATGCCCAGATAGGTGTATAAGGATGCCATATTGTCTCTTATACTCAAATTTTAAGTGTAAATTTTGTAGGTTCATTGTTGATATGAAACATTTGGGGATGATCATGTTCCCCACCCACCCAATCCCCTCTAGGCTGTATACCACCTAATGTGTTGCAGCTTTCTTCCAGGAATAATTTTGTTGTCCATTCGAGGCTCCCAAGTTCTCAAGTCAAAACTCAAAAAGTTTGCCCAGAACCAGAAGAAAGAGCTTAGATTGTATGAACTGTAAGTTCTCAGATATTATTATCAGGCCTTATCCAGAATCCACCTGTAATTAATACTTGTTTCTACTGTTGCTACAGTAGTCCGAACCAGTAAGGAGAAGAAGAAAGAGAAGGAGAAGAAGAAGAAGAAGAGAAGAAGAAGAAGAAGAGAAGAAGAAGAAGATGAAAGAACTGTCGAACCTGATAGCTAAACCCTATCAGTCGACCTCTTAATAGTGATTAGGCTTCTAATTAAATGTACAAGGACTAAACTGCCCCTACTTAAGTATGGGACAGAGAACCTCTAATAAGACTGCCACATAAGCTCATAACTTAACCAATGTGAGTTGACTAATCTACCCTTATTCGGCTAACTCTAACAATACTGTTCTGAAAGCTTGGGCCAAATTTGGGGGATGATGTGGTTAGAAATTGTTAAGGATTTCGGATCTTCATCCAACTCCTTTGAGAATAATAAAAAGGGTGGAGGTATCCCTTCTACAGCACACCAACAATTCTGAAATAAATGAGATTCTTGGGTCCTCCAAATCTTTTTGGTGAACATCTCGCGAACTAATAAACTGCATACCTTGTCCATATTATGAAGATTGGGTCCCAACATGGAATCGGTCTCCATTTTATTGGCGTTTAGCTTAAATTTTCCTTGACACTATAATTTTCCTTTTGTTGTAAACATGGGGTGGTGTAAATTCATTTCATGCTGCTGTGGTTTAGTCATCCAAGTTAAATTCATTTCATGCTAGCACGACCCAACACGACCCATATATATTGTTTATATATCTATGTATATAATATTTATATATTTTATATATTTATGTATGTAATATATTATATAAATTATAATTATATAATAATAAAGTATATAATATATTAATAAAAATTATAAAATAAACAATTGTTTTCAATTTTATTATACTAATTTATTTAATTATTGCATATATAAGCAATTGTATACATCAAAGTTCATATAAAATTAAAATTTTAAGTTTTTCAATTTTTTTAAATAAATAGCTCTGGCCCAGTCCATGGCCCGGCTTGGCCCAAGGCTTGGCCCACGGGCCAACTTGGCCTGTGGCATGGCATGGGCTTGGGCCGTGGGACGTGCCGGGCCGACCCCCCAAGTTATTCTAGGGGAGGGTCACACAGCACAACCCGCACTTTACGTGGACCCGACATGGCACGTTTTACACCTCTAACCCTTATATTATTATTTTGATTAATAAAAAAATGAATGAGAATGAAATTTGTAACCAAACAGGTTACAAATTTTACTCATTCTTGCCATAAAAAAATCATTTTTTGGGAAAAAAGCGTTTGGTTCGTAGCAATATTTTCTCATTCTTCCCATTTTTACTCATTTTTTATCCATCTTGGAATTTCATCTTGGGTAAAAATGAGAAAGAATGAGATTTGAACCAAACATGGCCTAAAAGATCCAAATCTAGATTGAATAAATAAAGAGATGTAAATGGGTCAGACACAGACATGTTCTACTTAGCTAAATCCATGTCCACTCTATGTCTTGTATCTGATTACTGATTATTTGGATTTTGTTGTGCTTCTTTAAATTTTGGTCTGTTAGCATGGTGATTGCTCGTCATAGATTCGAGTCGAGCCGAGCCGAGTACGAGGCTCGAGTAAAAAACTTGTAAGTTCGAGCTCGGCTCGAGCTCGACTTGAGAAAAAATGTTTTATAAAAATAAAAAGGGTAAATTACAAAGACCCCCCTGTACTATGGGGTCTATGACAAAGAGCCCCCTGTACTTTATTTTGCAACAAAGACCCCCCGTACTATGACCGTGAGACAAATACCCCCTTCCATTAGCTTTCCATTGAAATTCGCTGTTGCAATATTTTTTAATCCCCATACTACCCTTGTTACCCTGACCTCACGATACACGAACAACGGTGGTACCTCAGATTCCTTCATATTTCTCTCTCTCATTCTCTCTCCCCCGAATTCTCTTCTTCCCCTTTCCCTTTCTCTTCTCTTTCATTATTGCCCAGGCTGCTTTCAACAACAGCAGCCCAATTCCAGGACCCTGAGCAAGAAGGCGATTCTCCTGTGACTGAAGTTGAGGTAGTGATCTGCTGTCACCAACCGTTTCCCAGCAGCAAAGTTGACGCCTGGGGCTGGAAGGCCAATTCCAGGACCGTGATCTGCTGTCACCATCCTGGAACCTGGAAGGCCACCCAAGATGGACAAGGCTGCTATATTGAGTGATGTTGTTCGAATGGTTACTCAGTTGCAAAGTGAAGCCCAGAAGCTGAAGGAATCAAATGAGAGCCTACTGGAGAAGATCAAAGAGCTGAAGGTAAGCCTGGGGTTCAATTTGCTATTTCAATACCTCTTGTCATTACATTAAGGATGTGTTTTGTTTAGCACCCAATACTTTCCAAATTTGCAATTTTCCTGTTTTCTCCTGAACCTTATATGGTTTTGGTAGGCTGAGAAGAATGAACTTGGTGACGAGAAACAAAGGCTGAAGACAGAGAAATTAAGAGAAGCTGGAACAGCAAGTCAAAAATCTGAGTGCTCCACCAAGCTTTCTACCTCACCCTACGACTATCCTAGCTGCATTTACTGCCCAAGGCCAAGCTGCTGGTAACAAGCTGATGCCGTTCATTGGCTACCCAGGGGTTGCAATGTGGCAATTCATGCCATCCGCTGCAGTTGATACCTCACAGGATCATGTTCTCCGGCTCCCAGTTGCTTAAGATCTGTCTGCTTTCAATTTCCTGGAGAAATGTTCAATTATTCTTCCGTCTTTATTCCCACTACGTCAGTTTTGGTTAGATCTTGGAAGTTTGAATGACGTAGAATATTAGGCGGGTGATTACACACTGGAATTTGTGAACTTCCATTTTATCGTTGCTTCATAATTGTAAAATTTCAATAACCAAATCTGGTAATTTATTTGAATTTCTGTCACATTCTAGTCCTCATCGTGTATTTTTTGTTAAACGCCTAATGTTAATTTTGTATAGCCTGTGAATGTGCAGAACCCGCGGGAGGAGTAACTTCAGTTGTGGTATGTATAAGAAATAGTAGAAATAAGAAGATATAAGAACAACTAGGATCTGGGATGCTAGGTAGAAAACTTCATCTCCTAGTCCTTACTCCTTAGGTACACTAAAGGAGATAGTGATAAAGCGTCGCAGCTAGAAGAATTTAGCTCTGAAGGAAATATGAAATTGTGGAGAACTTAGATTTGGTGGTCATCGCTGTGGACTGCAATGCTTTTGATCGCTGCAAATCCATACATCCCCACTTCTATTTCCTCACTACCCCAGCCCCAGGCGTCGACTTTGCTGCTGAGAAACGGTTAGTGACAGAAAATCACTACCTCAACTTCAGTTGCAGGAGGATCACCTTCTTGCTCAAGGTCCTGGAATTGGGCTGCTGTTGTTGGAAGCAGCTTGGGTGTTAATGAAAGAGAAGAGAAAGGGGAGGAGAGAAAGGGGAAGGGGAAGAAGAGAAATCGGGGGAGGAGGGTGAGAAAGGAGAGAGAAATGTGAAAGAATCTGAGGTACCACTGCTGTTCGTGTATTTTTCTCAATTGTCCTTATTACAAGGATAGTATGGAGATTAAAAAATATTGGCTAATAGGGGTCTTTGTAATTTATCCTAAAAAAATTATATATAAAAATATTTTTGATTTGATATTTAAAAAATTAAGAATTATAATAATTAATTATTATATATTAAAATAAAAATATTATATATATAATATTTTTACTATATATTATTTCCTATAATTTTATATTATTATTATTATTATTATTATTATTATTATTATTATTATTATTATTATTATTATTATTATTATATATAGCTATTCGAGCTTGGCTCGATTATTAAACGAACCTATTAATTGGGCTCAAGCTCAGCTCAAAGCTCGGTTGAAACCAAGCCGAGCTTGAATAACTTGTGAAGAGCTCGGCTTGTGGTCACTCCTACTTGTCACCTCCTTCGATGTACTCCTTTTTTAATTCTTAATAAAATATTCTTTTTTATTATGTTATAAAAAAATCATGTCCACTCCAAATAAATATTCGGATTTGATTATTTTTGCTCTCAGTAACAATGATTTAGGAGGGTGCCCAAATCACCACCACCCTAATCAAGTCACATGAAAAAGATACTTCACAATATTATATATGCTTTTTATGGTTTACTTCCCAATATTATATCTGTTTTATGAGGCGTCTAAAATTGTCATTTACATTTGGGAAGAGAGGATAAAGAGTATTTGGCAGCTAAAGAACTCTCAATTATAATTGGTTCAGATGGGATTGGTTTAGACCAATAAGACCAGTTCTAGCCAAAGCTGCAAGTCGGGTTGCCTATCTAAGTACCCATTTGGGAGGGCTCTTCGCACCTTCTGGCGTTCCGAGCCGAGTCTCACACGGGAATACCAGAAGCTGTGTTTGATAAAAATCCAGAACACCCGAACCAAATACGAAGCTAGATGCTCAATTAACACAATACACCCCAAACACAGAAGCCCTCCCAAATTGGCTCTAAATTTTTCAACCACATCAAGCACAATTAGGATTTAGGCCCAACTTAACCCGACCCAATAAGTTGCACCACTAATTCTGAGTTCACTTATACACCCTGGTCTTGGTATTCCTTTTCTGTTCAGGACCGGGTCTATCCTAACCCTAGGCCTGACCTGTCCATTTGACAAGCCTATTTAAGCTTACTTGCTTAACGAGGAGTGGGATCTGCTAAAAAAAAAGAAGTATCAAGAGGGTGCCAACATGACGTGTGTCCACACATCTCACCATGAGCCTGGGATCCATCACGTCAGGGGCGGAGCCAGGGGAGTCCTGACCCCCCAAGGCCCAAAAATCTCCACAATTCCATATAAATTTCCCCTTCCCCCACTCCCCACCCCAATGGGGTTCTCCCCAATGACCATCTCCCCCCTTCCCCCTAATCCACCTTAGGTTTTGACCCCCTCATAAAAATTTTTTAATTCCGTCCCTATATCATGTCTGTGATGTATGGACACAAATCATGTTAAAACGTGTTGGAACAATTTTTCTTGTGAACAGATCCAGCCCCTGCTTAACAATGGCGCAAGGAGGGATATCAACCGGGTGAAATTGGTATGGGTTTGGCTCCATCTGAACCCGTCTCGACCTATTACACATAGTACATCACTACATCTATACTAACTTTAACCTGATAGGGTGAGGTCCATGCAGGTTTACCATTTAACCCGATCCTCCATTGACATTAATAACATATATTGGGCCCCCTAAAACAATAAAGGCTTTCTCTACCTTTTCTTTCAAACCAAACACAGCCTTAATGTTAGAACTTCATTCTCTCATGTCAATGGAATCACTTTCTTGTTCAGGCTGAGTTTGTATGCTCTGTTAAATGGGTTAAAAATAGCTGAAATATTTTCCAACCTATAATGAGTTTGCCTTCATTATATTATAAGAGGATTCGGACCTAAGAATCCTCTAAAGATTGAAACTTGAAAACCTTTTTGCCAATGTCCTGCATGCATGAGAAATTTCTCTTCAGCCATCCACTTTATAGGATATTTTAGGCATTTGAAAAAAAAAAAAAAAACAATTTCAAAATTGAGCTGCTTGTCTAAGCAAAATCCCAATTTCATGTGGATTATACAGTTAAATGTGGATCGAGAACTAAATCTGCATTGTAATGCAGAGTTTCATATATCTGATTAATTACCTTAACTAGTTGCAATCAAACATAAATGTCTGAAAGATGGCAATTTGATCCTCCCCTTTCAGGACTTTGACCATTTATCGGGTTTGGGGTAGGTTTTAGATTCAAAATGTGTGTTTGTGTATATATATAAATAGGTAGATAGATTTTAAAAAAAATAGGCTTTTAAATAGGAATGGCCAAGAATGGAAATGGAGTTGGGATTTCTAGCCCTATTGGGTTGTGAGGCAGAGTATTTGAATTTGGTTTCAGGGACATGGGAGGCAAAACCTGGCCCTGCCCCGCCTGTTGCCATTCCTATTTTCAATTCTCTAATGGTTGAAACACGGAGTTATAGATCCTTGTATCTATTGACATAGAGGGTGATTGATACCATAAGGTTTCACAGGTGTTCCCAATTTACAAGTGTTTCATTCCACCCTTATTTTTTAAAAACTCAAAAAAATTGGTAAAGATGTAGGTTGATTGAACGTTTAGTTTATTATTATAATATATTTATAATGACAGTTGTGTGACATCTTAAGAAAGATATCGACATTTTTCAATTTTCAATTATGCTACATCACCTTGGAAATTCAAGATCAAGACAGATTCAAGAATTGTCATTTGGTGATTCAAGAAATGCTGAAGTTAATCATTACAAAAACATTTTTCTTCGAAAAGCAATGAATCAAATGTGTTTTTAGCGTTTCCATTTTTTTTCCTGATACGGCAAGCTGGTGAAATGGAAAGCTTATGGTGGCAAACACCTACACACTTAGTTACTTATGGTCATAAAACTCGGATTCAGTCCTCACAAGACTGTGCTTATACCGTATTGTATTACAGGCACTTGTAACTGTGTATTTGGAATACATACCTCCGTATTTATATTTTTAATTTATGAGGAAATATATAGAATGCATAGCTGCAAGTGGGAATGAATACGGTGAAAGTAGAGTCTTGTGAGGACTGAATCCGAATCCAATCTCTTGGTCATAGCATTCAGAGAGGACACGTATCTAAATTATTTATTTGCTACTTTGTCAATAAATTCAATTATTGAGGGATTTTAATAATTGAGAGATTCTATGTAACGGCATTATATTGGGATTTCAAATTTTATTCATGAAATAAGATCAGAGAAGGATTGGAGATCTGAAATAGGAGAGTCATGTGAACCTTCTTCCTTTGGGAATTGGGACCTAGCAAGGATGTTTTAGTGGCACATTTGCATAAAATTTATTGAAGAATAAAGAATGTTTATTTTATTATTATTATGAAATGGCAAAACAAATTAAAGATGAAGGAAAATTTTGAGTTTATAAAGACCATGGTTCAACAATTCAAAGCTAAAAGAAATAAAAATGAAAGTTTCTTTGTTGCAAGGAATGTACATGCAGATAAAGTTAAAATCCATAAAAAATTTATTGGGACATTTTAACAACTTCTAACATCAAACAAGCTTGTACCAAAGATGAACTTTTAGTACATCTTCTACTGAACCAGATTGAAAGCAAGGACTAATGTGAGATATATAACATCTTGTGTTTTGGATTGACATGTTCCCAAGTCTTGCACTCTACATCTCCTCCTATTCACACTTCCCACATCCCTACCCACATGTATTCGTGTATTGGGAACATTTCCCCATCAATGACAAGTGAGATATCTCCAATGCATGCCTGTAGTTTCCTGTGAGTAGGGATATAGAAAGAGTTTGTCGATAGGATATAGAAAGAGTTAGAGAGTAGGGACAACATGGGGTAAAGCCTTTTATATGGTGGACACATTATGTGAACACACTAAGAGAGTGTTCTATAATGTAAATGAGAAATTGAGTGGTGTAGATTCATCTATACTATAATGGTGTGTTGTGGATGAATTCACACCACCATACCATGCCTTCAGGCATTCTATAGGGTGTGATGTGGTTTGGTCCAAATTTTGCGTTTTGATTCCATATATCTTATATATAATATGTGAAATGATTACATTGTTGATCTAGTGTAAAAATTATAATGTTTTATAAATAATGAAAAAAAATAATACAAATTATCTATTATTAAAATAAATCATGAATATGTATTTACTAATAAAGATAAAAAAGTGTAAAAATATTAGTTATAAAATTAATTAATAAAAATAGTGAAATATGAAACACATTTATCTAACAATAACTAATAAGAATTAATGCACACAAATATCTAACATTGATAAAATTTAGGGAAAATTCCCGATAGGTACCCTATAT